TCAAAGTGAATTTGTAACAAGTAGGAGATTTTTCTTGATCTAACTCTTCTTGGGACATAAAATATTTATATATGAGTCAACTAATGAAATATAATATTTCCTCTGTATCTCACATTTCCCAACATTGCAGGCATGTGAGAAGGAACCATAATAATTTTATACATACAGGTAGTACTTGACTGGAGAAGCTTAACTACATTAAGGTGCTCCATATAAATACAGCTGTAGTCATATTTTATATAGGATTATTGATTCTGTTTGGATGACCTTTAGCCAATACCTGTGGCTCATCTGCATGATATTAAACTCCTTGCATACTAAAGGTTGAATTAATCTGGTTTATTGCCTACATATTAAAAATAAACAATGACAAGTCTTTTTCTTGGAAATTATATAAGTAAGCAAAATATAGGTCATTATGAGGATTGAGCACAAATTTACATGTATTGCTTTTTCTCCTATTTATTACTTTTTTAACTATATAACTTACACTACTTAATGATGCTCTAATATTAATAATACCCTGTTTCTCCAACAATATGGCCTCCCACAATAGGAAGTCCCAGCATGTTTTATAGGCATGAAATGAAATTAAGCCCCTCCCACCAAACTAAGGCCTATATTAAAACATGCGAAATGGGGGGAATGGTGGGGGGGCTTGCTGTTAGGAAGTATTTTGTTGCACACCCGGATATGGTGCTGCCTGCATTGACCCCGATACGAAGTGCCCCAACAATGCCGAGGTCAACATCCAAGCCATCGCCACCTGCCCGCCCGAAGATGCAAGGGGGGGAATTAAGTCACCCCCCGAAAAGATGGCCTAGCCATTTTTTGGGGGCTCAAAAAAAAAAATAAGACCCGGCCTTATTATATGAGAAACATAGTATTTTTGGCTATGCAACTGTATTTTAATTATTTTTGCACAGTAACATAACACTGGTCCATTAATATTATTTAAATATTTCTCTCAGTTTCTCCTGCACATATTTTACATATTTTTAATCTTAAAGTGCTTCTGTTGTATTTACTCATTTCATTCTGAGCTATAACATGTTTTTAAAACACAGAAATAAAAATAAAAATTAAATGTACCATCTATTTACCTTTTTGATATTTTTTTGATATTTAAGTAAAAGAGTCACAAACAGAACTCAGTTTTGTTTGGATTCACCTGTATTATATTAAAAAACACACCGCTTAATTTATTTCATCAAAAATGAAGTCAAAAATTGATTTTTTTTAATGATAGCAAATCAGTGCGACTATGTTTTTGCTATTGTGTAAAATAAAACATCAAGAATCTATTGCAAAAAATGAACTGGTTTTTTTTCTCCAAAAACTCAGAACGTTTAAAATTCTGTAATTCAATTTCTGAATAAGTGAATAATTAAAGTTGTGGACAACGAATTATTTTCCTCTCTGCTTAGTGTAAAGAAACTTGATTGTAACAAAATAATAAGATCCTCTCTTTCTTTCTGAATTTCATTTCATTTTTACCGATCATTTATGACCTTTCATATAATGTCAATAGAAGCTTTTATTAAAAATGAATGAAATAATTTTGAACTAATTATGCCTTACACTTTCATTCTTTAAAAATGAACTTATGAAATAATTACAATAAGCTCTTTTAAAATGGCACGTGAATAGAAGAATAGAGAGGAATAGAGGTAAAAGAATGTCCTGTCTCCTTTGATGGCCTGACACCTGTTTAAGGAGCCACTCTTTTAAAAATAGCCTAGCTGTCAGGTGGAAGGAACCAGGACAACTTTGTGAATAGACCAGGGGTGAGCTTCAAAAATTTTAGCAAGGGGTTCTCTGCTTGGGTGGACGTGGCCATGGTGGACATGGCCTCGTCGGCCTCCTGCACCATGGTGGGGAGGCGGGGCCTTTTTGCCCTCTCCGGGCTCAGGAGGCTTTCTTCAAGCCTCTGGGAAGGCGAAAACAGCCTCCCCAGCTTCTGGAGGCTCTCTGGAAATGGGCTCCCAAACTTCTGGGAGGCCCATTTTTTTGCCCTCCCTGAGCCTCTGTGTGCATCCTGCATCCCAAATGGCCTACCTGGGGACTCCTGGGGGGGCAGGGGGGGCGAGGCCAGCCAAGAGTGGGATTTGGGGGTTCTCCAAACTGTGAAGAATCTTAGCTAGGGGTTCGCCCAAACCCCTGCAAACTCCCAGCAGCCCATCCTTGGAATAGACCAAAGCAGTTTCTTTATTGTTGATTGGCCATGTTACAAGAATCTCATCAGACTGGTTGCATTCTCTTCGGACCCAATAGATAAGGCTTCCCTAGTCTATGATGTTTATTCCTCTGGAACAATTTCATGCTGGCAAGCATCTTTAACCCCCTCCCCTCATCCCCACTCCATTAGCTGGTGATTCTACATGTCAGTTATGGTATAGCCTGTAAAAATATTGAGGAGGAAGAGAAAAGAATGAAAGGATAGAAGAAAAGAATGTAGAAGGAGAAGAAAGGAGAAAACAACAACAAATAACAAGAGATGCAGAAAAGAGCTGAAGCCTTAAAAACAGAGGTGGTATTCAGCAGGTTCTGACCAGTTCTGGAGAACCGGTAATGGAAATTTTGAGTAGTTCAGAGAAACAGCAAATGTCACCTCTGATTGGCCCCTACCCATCTATTCTCTGCCTCCCATTGAGTCCCAGCTGATCCGCTGTATCTTCTTTTGTTGCCCTGCACTGGAGAATGGAGCTGGAAAGCAGGTTCGTGGGGTGGGGAGGGAGGGAATGGGAATTTTACAGTAACCTTCCCCTGGAGTGGGGTGAGAATAGAGATTTTACAGTATCCTTCCCCTGCCATACCCACTAAGCCATGCCTACCAAGCCACACCCACAGAACCGGTAGTAAAAAAATTTGAACGCCACCAGGGCTTAAAGATATTTTAAGAACATAAAAGTGGCAGCCAGGAGTAGTGAACAACAGTGGAGTGGCATCAAACACCTCAGGAAGCTCAGAAGTTGTTGACTGTACATTAGTAACCATAGGAACTGCTATGTAATTTTCAATCATAAGCAGGACAAAAGTGATTTGGATGCTGCTTCAAACAGTGGCAATATATGCCAGTATTCCAGAGTAGCCTGGATGTTCACAGCCTCTTAGCAAACAAGAATATTGTGATGGGTTCCGCCATGGTACCACCAACTTTTAATGATTGGCAGCTTGTGAAATATGCACAAGGCTACAGAGCTAGAACAACAGCAGGAGCAAGCTAATCCAAGCAGCATCTGTAGTATCTTCTTCCTAGGCAAACACACAAGTGGTTTTGGGTTCCAAGTGGATTGGGGAAAGACCTGAAAAATTTGAAGGAGCATAAGAAATTTGAATGGAGGTGTAGAGTAGAAAATACAGCAGTATAAGCCTACCTGTTAAGGAGAATGTTATGTGGGATGATTGTACATAGATAGTGAGTAAACTGGAAAGTGTTTTAAAGAAAAACAATGCTGGAATTACTTATGAAATCTTTATTGAGCATGAGTCTTTGCTATTAAAAGATCCTGTTGCAGAAATTTTGTTCCTGGCCAAACCAACACTTTTATTACTTCGGCTTCCCTATGAATGCTACTGACAATATTGCCTCAGATTTTGTATTCTTTTCCTGTATTTCTTTTTCTAAGGGGATGCAGAAATAGATTACTTTGTCTATGATTACTGATCAGCCCAGAGCAAAAAAACCAATCGAGAAAACAATAAAAAAACCATACCCAGTTTCTTCTGTGAATGTCACATGACACATTGTATCATGTTTTTATGATCACATTTATCACACTACTAATTTAAAACTACCTGATCTGGCCTGAGATGCAATAGATATGATCAAAAGTAGCATGCAAAAGAAGTCAGCTTCTCATTTTACAAAAGGGAGCCCAGGAATTTCATTTAAAAAGTTACATGTTGAAGTCCAGGAGTCCTCAGACTCATAACAGGAGAGTTTTCTCTTCTGTAAGCCAAAATTCTCTCCAAACCCCTTTCTTTATTTTCCACTAAAATCACCATTAAACTGATTGCCAACATTTGGAGGCAAACCAAATTTCAAAAGTCAACTTGAATACAATTTCTTGTCCTAAAGGTGCTTTTTTCAAAAGGACAACTGGACTTTCTTGTTTCTTCCTTGAAGAAGAAACACTTCTCAACCAAAAATCTTCTTCAGAACTGTAACCTTGTATTGAATAAAAGTGCTACTAGATAATAAGAAACTGTAATGTTTGTGGAGATTCTCAGTCATCCAGGTCATGGAGGTCCGAAAAGTGCTTTTTCAAAAGGCAACTGGAATTCTTGTTTTTTCTTTGAAGATGTTTCAATTCTCATCTAAGAAGTTGGATGACCTTTAACTGCTCCACACCACTACTATTGTAGAAAGCTTCTTGGTGGAAATGATTCTAGTTGGGAAGCTTCAGTTTTTCCCACAGTATACCCCAAAGTTGTATACAGCCTGGAACACCCTTAATACATTATGAAAGTCATAGATTTGGGTGAATCTTATGGACTTGCAACTCCTCTCTTCTCTGAGACACACCATATTTGGCAAATGGTTAGAGGCATTTTAGGTCTGAGAGCTTTGATATGTCCTACAGGATGGCCCACACAATTCATCTGCTACAGCTGTCTGGTGTGGGACTTGAAGCAGTGAGAAAACAGTCTCCTTTTTAGAAGGCTATAAAGGGATCTGAATTGGAGTGAAGAAAATACACAGGACTGCTTCCCCTTGCTCTTAAAAGCAAAGGAGCCATGGTGCTGTGCAAAGAACTTCACGGGGGAAAATCCTTCAAAGGTCCATCTAGCAAGTAATCCATCTGAAACTTCCCTTGATCTTAATATTAGGAAATTTCCTAAAGGAAAAAATGTAGTACTGATCAGTTTAATTATAAAATTTCCAATCTTTTTCTTCTTGTTATATTGATGCAAAATATGCATTTGTATTTATTTTTATGTGTTATGACAGATATAATTGGATTCAAGCAATGTCTTTCTTTTTAGAAGTTTAAGAGGCAGTGGTGATGAAAATAATTATAAAAACAACTCTCCTAAAGCTTTCAATTCTTTCCTGGAATTCTAGGAGATATTTTCTAGCCTTCTATTAGAGAACATAAATATGCCTCTGCCAATAAAACATGCACGTGACATTTACAGACCAACACTGAACCATAAATAATGTCAATTTCTCTGCAGATCCATCAAAGACAGCACTGCTGATGAAGAAGACAGTGCTGATTCCCACATTGCTAAAAATTCTAGGAAGTTCTCTCATCTCAAAGTTGCCCACATTAGGAACAAAACAAAATTAATAGCTCCTAGACTTAATGTGAGAAATTAAATGACCAAGTGGTTATATGACAGGATTCCCAAACAAAATGTTAATCGACTGCAGAGACATTTGGTATACAGCACACTGAGTGCATACAGTCCTAAAGATGGAACTTTCTTTGTTTCTTTTTCCCCTGTCCTGGGATAGAAACTTACCCAGTATTTTTTAATGAGCCAATGAGAGTTGTATTGTTTTTTTTTTTAAATTACCCTCACTAAGATCTACATATCTTACATTCCAGGTTATCATAGTTGTTAAATCTTCAGAGAATACATTCGAATGAATTTGGAATGTTATTGAGATCTTGTCTTGTTATCCATGAAGTGGATGGTGCTATAATCATGGCCCTGTCTATAGTTGTGCAAATCTAGAGTTAGCAGAGAACGTCAACTATTCATCCAGATTGCCTCCAAGATGGATCCAAGCTTTGTGATCTTGCCATAGAGCCCCAGATTACGAAGTCACAAATCTACTTCTTTTTTGCACTTGATACATTTTGATGCAGTTCCAGGTGCACCACACATTATGGAATATAAATTATGGACCAACCCCGCCGCCCCACTTCTGTTGCTACATCAGTAACATTTCCCAATTTCTTTTCCTAAATAAATTTCCATTTTGTTAATTTATAATAATTTCTTCTAACACTACATAATTAACTTCAGCTCCTTAATATGTCTTTGCACTGTAATTTCATGTTCAATCAACATTTATTTTCAAAGGCACACAACTTTATCCCTAGGAGTCTGGTGCATTTGAACGATAAACATACTTATTTTATGGCTAAGATTTGTTCCCTATTTAGCACACAGTTTTTTTTCTGTATGATGTGTAGGGAAGTAAAGTGATGAATTTTAAAATGGAATAGCACTGTGTTTCCTTCTGACATGATTATTACAAACAATAAAACAATCCTTATTGCTGGATTAATTTCTATGCAATCTTATTTCATCACACTACATTTGCCAAACAGGTTGACTGCTTTCTTCCTCACATTTATTAACTAATTCACTCCAGAAAGGTATCTTTGTTCAAATTGAAAGCCAATCCAAATGACATACTAGGTTTGATCCCGTACTGACTATGGATTGATTAGGTACTTGTACTGATTCAGTTTGGAGCAGGAAAAAATAATCCCATTTTTTTTTTGTTCCATTCATTTCCTTTGAAAAGCTGATACCCCCACAGAATTTTTTTCCACTTTTTAAAAAAGTATTAAATCATAGGGTCCTAGGTATAGGATATAGAAAGGATGCTGTTTTAATATTGATTATATCAGTAATTAATGCTGTATTTTCCAAGTCTTAAAGATATATTCCAGATAACAGATAATCAGAGTTGGAAAGGACTTTGTAGGTCATAGTCCAACCCCCCGCCCAAGCAGGAGACCCTACACCATTTCTGACAAATGGGAGTCCAATCTCTTCTTGAAAGTCTCAAGTGATGACGCTCCCACAACTTCTGAGGGCAAGCTGTTCCATTGGTTGATTGTTCTCACTGTCAGAAAGTTTCTCCCTATTTCCAGGTTAAATCTCTCCTTGTTCAGTTTCCATCCATTATTCCTTGCCTGGCCTACAGGTGCTTTAGAAAATAGCTTGACTCCTTCTCTATGGCAGCCTCTCAAATATTGGAACACTGCTATCCTGTCTCCCCTGGTTCTTCTTTTCATTAGACTAGCCATACCCAGTTCCTGTAACCATTTTTCATATGTTTTAGTCTCCAGTCCCCAAATCATCCTGGTTGCTCTTCTCTGTACTTTTTCTAAAGTCTCAACATCTTTTTTTTTTTACTAAGGCTTTATAAAGTGGTATTAGTACCTCACTTGATCTTGATTGTATCCCTCTGTTAATGCAATTTAGGATTGCATTGACTTTTTCAGCTGCTGCTGCACACTGCTGGCTTATATTTAGCTGGTTGTCCTCTAAGACTCCAAGATCCCTCTCACAGTTACTGCTATTGAGCCTGGTTTCACCCAGTCTACATGTGTACTTTTGATTTTTCTTGCCTAAATGTAGGACTTTACTTTTCTCTACGCTGAATTTCACTTTGTTAAATATGGCCCAGTGTTCTAATCTGTCAAGATCCATCTGGATCTTGAGACTTCTTGGGTCCATATTAATTGTAGTGTTTTTATTAACCCAATGAAAGATCTTCAAAATACAGGTAGTCCCTGACTTACAAGCATTCAGTTACTGACCATTAAGTTACAAAGGTACTAAAAAGACTTGGGACCATTTTTCACATTTAAGGACTGTTGCAACATCCCCATGGTCACACGACCAAAATTCGGCACTTGGTACGGGTTCATATTTATGATGTTTATACTATTCCAGGGTCATCTGTTTCCCTTTTGCAACAAGGGTTCACTTAACAACCTGGGTTACTAACCTAACAGCTGCAGTGATTCACTTAATGACTAAGTTCATAAAATGGGGCAAAACTCACTTAACTATCTCACTTAGTAACAGAAATTTTGGGTTCAATTCTGGTCATGAGTCAAGGACTATCTATAGCCTACAAGCTTTTGAGTAAACAAAAAATCTTCATCAGCTAAGATACTTAAAAAGCCAATAAGGGGAAAAAAATGAAGTACATACTCCAAAATAAATTGAAAGATAAAAGCTTATAAATAGTTCTGATTCTAAAACTTTAAAAAATTTAGCAATAATGCTAGTTCACAGAATCTCCATCCAGCATGGCCAATGGTCCCACTTTATCCCTTAAACCGACACACATCTATACCCAAATGACTATGCCAAATTTTAGACTGTGGTTTTTAACATTCTCTTTTAGAATAGAATAGAATTCTTTATTGGCCAAGTGTGATTGGACACACAAGGAATTTGTCTTGGTGCATGTGCTCTCACTGTACATAAGAGAAAAGATACATTCATCAAGAGTCAAGAATCATAAGGTACAACACTTAATAATAGTCATACGGTACAATAAGCAATCAAATCATACTAGGAAACAGTCAATAAAAATAGTTAGGATTCTAGCAACACGGTTACAGTCATATAGTGATAAGTGTGAGGAGATGGGTTAAAGGAAGGATGGGAGGATTAATAGTAATAGTAATGCAGATTTAATTAATAGTTTGACAGAGTTGAGGGAATTATCTGTTTAGCAGAGTGATGGTGTTTGGGAAAAAACTGTGTCTAGTTGTTCTGATGTGCAGTGCTCCATAGTGTCATTTTGAGGGTAGGAGTTCAAACAGTTTATGTCCGGGATGTGAGGAGTCTGTAAAGATTTTCACAGCCCTCTTTTTGACTCATGCAGTATACTGGTCCTCAATGGAATTAGATTCTCTTCAAATCTGGTGAGACCTTATCCCTAAACTTCACAGTTGTGCATTATAGACAATACTATTACAAGTACAATAAATAACCAATTAAACCATACAAATTAAAATCAACATTGTGTCAGATGTAACATTAAAACCATAACAATTGATGATGGCAACAATGACAGCAAGATGGCAAATAAGATATAATCAATCCTCACTTCGTAAGCATTTTATAAATTGCTTCATACTGACTTATTAGATGGGCACATGAACAGTCATTGCTGCTATCTACTTTTTAATTAGTACTGTACTTTAGCTTTTTATATATGTGTATTTTTCAGAAATTATTTTTTAATGTGAACCCGGCCAGTAATTTTTAATTTTAATTAAAATTTAATTTTAATGTGTATCTGGCCAGTAAATGCTCAGCTCTATCCTGACTCTATCCCGAATTAAGGAATGACAGTCATAAAAAGTGATTTTTATTAAGTTATAGTGATCTTGTAACCTACTGAATAGGGTCTGGTTGGGATAGGTAACAAGTATAATTAACAAATAAATATATGACACAGAAACATGAAGCAATAACCTGGGTGAACCAATAGTTCTTCAATTGATGTGAAAGCTAATAGCAGTCACAACTGGACAAGAAATTTTCTGTAGATCTAAAACCAACCTAACTCTTTCACAAACCCAATTCTTTTGTTGTGCCATAATCTATTTTCATTATAATGACTTTGGAGACCTTCACAAAGTATTTTTTAGGTTTATAGAATATGTGGTTGTTTATTTATACTACATGTGTATTTTTAAGAAATTATTTTGATGGAAATCTCTCCATTAAATTTTTATTTTAATTACATTTTAATTTTAATGTGCTTTCAGCCAGTAAATGCATAGTTTCATCCAGTTGTCCCAACTCTACCCTGAATTAAGGGATGACAGGGTTATAAAAAGGGAGTTTTATTATGCTCTAGTGATCTTGTTGCCTGTTGAATGAGGTCTGATTGGGATAAGGAACAAATAATTTAAAAAATATGATACCTATATTTATTATATGAAATGTAAATGTAAGCCAGTGTGAACCAATAGTTCTTAAATTGATGTGGAAGCTAACAATTCAAGACCAGTCACAACTGGATAAAAAAAAAATCTAGATCTAAAACAAACCAAACACTTTCGCAAACCTAACTCTTTTATTGTGTCATAATCTATTTTTATTATAATGATATTGGAGATTTTGATGAGGGCTTGCTAGGTTTATAGGATGTGTAGTTGCCTATCAGTGTTCTAAACTAACAATGTGAAATGTTTGAGGAAAAACCAAGGCACAGTCAGAATTTATTTCACAATAAAATCCAAGCACTTACAGCAGCTAAATGCCTACTATATTTACATTTCTTCCAACTGTCATCTCCCTGAACAAACTTTTTGCTTTCCTGATAGGGGAAAGAGCGGGATAGTAGGTTCAAAAATCCCAAGGACCATGAAAGACATGAAAGAAATAATTGGATGCATAAACATTACACCATGTACTCCATCGGAATAACAAATGACACTTAAGTTACTCTGAAAAGAAATTCAGTATGTCTGCCAGAAGAGCATGTGCAAGCTGTTAAAGAGCATAGAGCCACATTAAAGCCAAGCATATTTAGTGCAGGCTGAACATTTTCAGGCAAAAGGCTGTTTTTAGAGACGGAAAATTATGGTAGACAATAAAGCTCCATATGGTTATGCCAGTGGAGAGGAAAATAACTTTCTCGGATGCTACCACAGATGACTCTTGAACAATGTTTGTCAACCTTCTGCTTTGGAAAGACTAAATGGCTGAGAATTGACATTCAAAACTCTGCGCTTTGGAGAAGACATGCTTTGAGATGGCTCTCAGACAGTCATTATGGCTCTGCACAATATGGCCTCTCAAAAGCTACTCCTCATGTGATGGGCAGAGAAAAGAGAACATCGTCCATCAGTTTCCTTCTGGTGCGATTCACTATATATGGTGAGTCATGAATTGGGTGGAATTATTTACTTTCTGTTGTTGCTCTCAATGTGATAGCAGCACAATTTTGATAAAAGGTCCTACTTCAGTACTCTACTGGATTCAGTATTCAATCTGTTTTGAGCAGAAATCTTGCCCTGGCAATTATCTTTCTCCCAGTAGTCGACAGAGAACTTGCTGAGGTTGGCTACGTCATGACTTGATATTTCTTCCAGTCAAAATAGGGGGGGGGGGGGTCACTTAATAAGTCATGTAATTTAGTTGGTACTCATCAGTTTTAGTTCTCATCATGTCACAGATTATCAAGAAACTCTGAGATACTACTGTTTTATATCATGTTGTCCTGGATGTGGTATTATTTTGCAATAGGGGAAAGAGATATATTCTCCCTAAGAATACTTATGACTATGTGCTATTAAGTCAGTGTTAACTCACAGACATCATACAGATACGTTTTCTTCAGAATGATCCCCAACCTGTTTTTTCAAATCTTCTAATGGTAGAACCATCACAGCTGCAATGAAATGAAGGCTAGCCACATCGCTATTGGTCATTCTCTCCTTTTTCCTTCCACATTTTTCTTGACTATATTGACTTCACAATAGATTTTATATAATGTGCCCAAAATAATTTGAGCTAGGTCATTTGTGTGTCAAGTGAGAAAATCAGATAGATTTGTTTTATTGTCTAATTGCTTATCCTGCTATCCATGGTAAACTCAACAGTTGTCTCCATCAATGCTCTTTCTATCTTGCATCTTCAAAGTCTAATTTGAACATGCATAGAGTTTCAGTTGGAAAACCATTGCCTGCATGATTCTTTGCTGTATTGACTCATTATATGTTTCACATGGTGCCTAAATGAGCTGTGAAAATAATTCTATCCTTGAGTTACTTGAAGCCAAAATGAAAGACATTAGTGATATATTAAAAGTAATGAAAAGAGACTTCCATTCACATAAGCTTCTGTGAATTGTGTGAAAGAAGGGGCAGAAAAAGCTATCATTACAAAGCAAATCAATCCAGAGCTGGATGACAGGGGTGTTTTAATGTAGGTGTCTTATCCCTCTTTTTAATTAATATCTTTATTACCTTAATAGTAAAATTAAGCTAGAATATATATGTTAATTTTCCAGACCATGAACAGGCAGCCAGCCTTAATGAGTGTTCATGAATGCTGTGTTCCACAAATGTAATCAGTATGCCACACAGCAATTGTACAGTGCTGTAGCATGTAAGCATAATTTAAACTGTACTAGGAGGAAAGAGGTTGAGTGGAAGAGGAAGCCAGAGAAAGCCACTGATGGGTAATTTTAATAAGATTCCCAATGCAATCCTAAGTTGCATCAACAGAGGGGTACAATCAAGATCAAGTGAGGTACTAATACTACTCTAAAAAGCCTTAGTAAGACCACACAGAGTACTGCATCCACTTTTGGTCACTATACTATAAAAAAGTTATTGAGACTCTAAAAAAAGTACAGAAAAGAACAACCAGGATGGTTAGGGGACTGGAGACTAAAACATATGAAGAACGGTTACAGTGGGCATGGCTAGTCTAGTGAAGAGAAGGACTAGGGGAGAGATGATAGCAGTCTTCTAATATTTGAGGGGCTGCCACAGAGAGGAAGGGGTCAAGCTATTTTCCAAAGCAGTTGTAAGCCAAACAAGGAATAATGGATGGAAACTGAACAAGGAAAGATTCAACCTGGAAATAAGGAGAAACTTTCTGACAATGAGAACAATCAACCAATGGAACAGCTTGCCTTCGGAAGTTATGGAAGCACTATCACTTGAGACTTTCAAGAAGAGATTGGACTGCCATCTGTCAGAAATAGTGTAGGGTCTCCTGCTTGGACAGGGGATTGGACTAGATGACCTACAAGGTCCCTTCCAACTCTGATTATCTGTTATCTGAAAAAGAAATGAGAAACTTAAAGAAAAAAAGAGAGGCAAATTTAATTGGAGCATCAATGTAAGGTAAACAAGGAAAATTTCAGCAAGATATGGGCAGGCATAATAACAAATATAACATCCCCCCCCCCCCCCGTCTCTTGCTTTTATTTGTTTATTTTCTTTGTGATAACTTTTCTTTTTTCTTTTTGCATAATGTTATTAATCCTGAAAGGAAAATACCATGATGGGCATGCAGTATACATATGCAGAATGGCAAGACAGTTACTAGGCGTGTTTACTCTGTGCATCTAATCCCCATAAAAATTATTCTGTGAAATTCCTGCTAGACATTATTGTCTGTCTGTTTGTTTGTTTGTTTGAGGGTATTACATGACTTAAACAATGTTATTCTCCCCTGAGATGAAAAACCAAAGAGACAAAATGACCTAACCGGGTAACAGAGGAAATGTATGATCTTGCAAATAGTGTTGAACTTCAACTCCCCATAGGCCCAGCAACCATAACCTGTTCTGAAAGATGCTGGGAGTTGTGGGCAGGGGTGAGCAACTTATACTTATGATGGTTGCTGTGTCCCAGGATCATGTGATCAGCTTGGAGACCTTTTGACAACCAAAGTCAATGGAGAAGCCAGATTCATTTAACAACCATATGACTAACTGCACAAATGCAATGATTCACTTAACAACTGTGGCAAGAAAAGTCATAAAATGGGGGGGGGATAAACTATTTCACTTAGTAACATAAATTTTGGGCTGAATGGTGGTTGTAAGTTGAGGACTACCTGTATGATGTCTAACAACAGTGAGGAGGAGACTGACAATTGTTCCTTCCTTCCTTCCTTCCTTCCTTCCTTCCTTCCTTCCTTCCTCTATCCTTTATTTGGTACAACACAAGGCAGCATACATTATATTCCCTCTTTCCCAATGAATATCCAGAATGGGAGGTGTCAAAAATAGACAGAGGAAGGTCTCCAAAGCCTACTCTTTTACAAAAAGGGCATTATATCACCATCTTCTTTCCAACAAATTTTGTTACTATTGCTGAGGGCTATGTTATGGTAAATATTAAGTAGAGTTCATGGAAACAAGCCAGATTTATAAACTCTGCTTTGTGTGTGGCTGCTAAGATATTCTTAACATGGGTAAGGTTAGGTTTTCCTTGCTGAAACATCGGGATGGGCTACAGCAGACAAAAAAGCTTCCAAACTCACTTTCTTCATTGGAGGAACAGTGAGGCAGTATCCAAAGCCTTGCCATGGTAATGCATTTCCTTGGATACAGTTGCATGAGTACACCAAGTCCTATCTGCTCTGAGGCTTCTCTGAAAATTTCCAGTAGAGAAGTAGATTATGAGTCTGCTTACAATAGCAATAACAGCCACATTTGAATGTTAACATGCTCTGAATTACTCTACTGCTAAAAATTCTCATTAAAAACGCAGTGTATTCGCCTATGAAGAGTTTATTGAAAACTGCAAGACGCAAAGTAATGTTGGGAGAATGCTGTGCTTTAGGTTAACTTTTGAGTGTATTTTCTAACCTCTGCATATTAAATGATTCGTTCATACACTGAAGTGTAAGATAATTTATACCCGAAAAAAGACAAATGATATTATTCTCCAGGCACAGCACGAAGAGATTTATGTTCCTAGTTTCATTTAACAGTGGTGGGCATTTTGTGTATAACTCACTACATGTGTCTTGTTAAATTCTCTTCTCTATCCCATAACAGTGGCAAGTCATTTTGAGTTATTAATCCAAGTATTACATTCAAATTTAACAACCTAATCAAGCAAAAATAAGTAGATTTGACTGTTACAACAGTGATACTCAAATAAAAGATCTTCCTTTTTTATATTGTATTTTGGTGTATAACAATAAATCTACTCAAAAAAAAATACAGTAGCATTCTCAATTTAAAATTCAGGGCTATTACTTGAAACCAGCATGGATTATTCCATAAGTTTAAATCTCTGTAATATTTAGCAGTTATACTGTAACATTTCATTTCTAATATATTCTTCTATGCATTTTTAATTTAAACAGTAAAACAAAAGGACCAAGAAACTATTCAATTATCAGGGAAAGTGAATCATTTCCGTTTGAATGAAATGGTGGTTGTAACAATATTGATCATTCTGAATTTGAACACCAGGGTTTATAATTTTTTATTTGAACTTGGATCTGCTAACTTCACTTACAAACCAGCATTTGTACTTCAGATGAAAAAAAAAAAAGACTGGTTCTTTCATATCCACAACATGTAAAAAATTGAAAAGCAAATACTAGAAGCAAAATAATTAACCTTGAACTTTGTGTGCCCAAAGGAGAAAGGGAGGGGAAAACTTTAATATATGAAATGGGCAGGAAGCCTCTCCATTTGTCTCTGTGTGTTGTTTTCAAAAGATAGAATGCTAACAGCAATATCAAACTGTTTTGGATGATCTTTTTTGTCTTCTGTATTTCTGGAAATGACTATGTCGCATTCAGTGTTGCATATTAAATGGCTGTTCCAGGGAATATGATGGAAAAGAAAGAAGACGTCCAAATGTGGAATTGATGTTTTCATTCTGACTTTTAAATCATTAAAAGTATTCTAAAAGGAATCATTTGATCATTTTATAAATATTTTTAAAAGGGGACAGAGTTATCCAGTGTGTTTTTCTGTCTACACATCAAAATAAATCTCCATTGAAAAAGTACTATTGATATATAAGGAAGCGATAAAATAGAGCTGTCCAAGCCAGGCTCTGATTCAGAGTCAGCCATTCACTTATTTCTTAGCCTTGGGCAAATTGTCATTATTTGCTATCGTTGCTGAAATGGACAGAAATATAGCTTAATAAATAAGAGTGCTTAAGGCTATAATCTTTGATGTATTTATAAGCAAATCCCACAGAAGGCTGTGGGTCTTTATCTGAAAAGGGGCAGACTGGACTGCATGGAAACATCTTTGAATTCCATGGTCTTAAAGGGGAAAAGAGGGTAGCTAAGAAAAATTCCCAGCATGCAAGACACGTAGCCAGGACTGGGAGGCTCTGGAAAATAGAGCAGCAGACACCAGACTCCATCATCCCCACCTTCACCTCTCTCACCGATATGGACTTTGAAAGATGCATTCCAAAGTAATACTCTTTGGAGCAATACTTCTTGTTGCCATTTGCACTACAGGTAGTCCTTGACCTACAACCACAATCGAGCCCAAAATCTATTGCTAGGTGACATTTTGTTAGGTGAGCTTCCCCACATTTTATGACCTTTCTTTCCACAGTTGTTAAGTGAATCATTGCAGTTGTTAAGTTAGTAACATGGTTGTTAAGTGAATCTGGCTTCCCACATTGACTTTGCTTGTAAAAAGCTCACAAAAACTGATCACATGACCCCAGGGCATAACAACAGTCATATATATGAACCAACTGTCAAGCTTCTGAATTTTGATTTTGTGACCACGGGGATGCTGCAACGGTGAAAAAGTCACATTTTTCAATGCCATTGTAACTTTGAATGGTCACGAAATGAATTCTTGTAAGTTGAGGACTACCGGTAACTGGGAACATTTTTGAATATTTGGGGCATCTGTAATGCAATTCTACTGAGGTTTTTTTTTTTTTTTTAAAAAAAAGCTCCTTCATTTGGACTTCTCACTCTTTACAAGATGCATAATATGATCATAATTTTTATAACCTTTTTTTAATGGTGACTG